AAAAAAAAAGAGAGAGAGAGAGAGAGAGAGAGAGAGAGAGAGAGAGAGAGAGAGAGAGAGAGAGAGAGAGAGAGAGAGAGAGAGATATATGGAAACAGAAACATTTTTTTTCTCTCTCTCTCTCAGAACTGGTACGACTACGAGCGCAAGATAACCCGAGCTGACTTCATCCCCGACCCGTTCACCGTCGAAGGCTATTACGTGGGGATCAACGAAGCGGTCGTTATCAGGGTAAGGAGTCTCAGGTCGTTCCTGTGAATAATATATACATTTTTTTTGTATCTCGAGGATATCTTTTTTCGTGTTTTTGGCATCGCAAGTGTAATTGTCTAATTTAGTAACAGTCCACTCAGTAAAGAAAGGAATGGTGTGGAATATATGTGACACACACACACATATATCTATCTATATCTATCTATCTATCTATATATATACATATATTTTTACAGGAAATAAATGACAATAAATTAACCCATTCGCCCCGGATTTATGTTCTGTCCCCTATAGTTTTTGGTGAATTTTGTTACATACAGATGGCTCCACATGTACTCAGCCGGCAAGGAGTCTATCAGTACCGACCCTGATTTTCCCATTCATTGAAATGGCGGGAAAATTAATACCACTGCTATCGATACTGTTATTATTGTTATTGATGTTATGCTTATTAAATTGTCATTAAAATATTTTCGACAATTAAATAATACAAAAGACCCTTTCCTAAAGTGAAGGAAAAGGGTAAACAGGTGAAATAGGTAGTTTCGATAAACTGGCTATTTGGTGATTAAGAACTTGTGGAGCCATCTATGTGTAAATACAATAAATAAACGTGTATCAAAGTGGGCATGGGATCTATTCTTGCCACGTGGGGCGAATGGGTTAATAAATCCTAAACAGCATTTCTACACAGATCACCTTCATACTATAGCCATACTTTCTACGACTGCACTCTTACCCGTTTTCTTTGTCTGCAAAAAGGACTTCCGGAGCGGCGTCGAGTTCATAATCAACAAAGGCCTCGGGAACTGCACAGCCATCCCCATCCCAGACACTGGATATGACACCATCGTCGACCCAAGTGGCCAAGTGACCATAAAGGACCCGCTGACACTCTTCGGTCTCGGCCAAGTGTCCAACCTCACGTACTACGGAAAGGTTAGACCGTTGGTTTTGCAAAATGGCCGCACTCAACTCCAGCCAATAGGTTTGGGATAAATCGTGTGGAAAGGGAGGTTAAGGGTGAAGGGATAATGGGCGAATTCGATTATAGCAGGCATTTAAAAAATAAAAGAAGCTGAAAAAAACGGAACCAAGAATCGTAGTTTAGATGATGATGAAATTGGAAAATTCAAAACCCAAGATTCGGTCCCGGAAAATTCGAACCGGCGATGTACGAACGAACGAACGAATCTGAAACGCGCAGAACTACCTCAAAAATCTCTAACTTCACGTATGTCAGGTAAACGAATGTTAAGTTTCGTAGTGTAATGATAATAATTGTCCATATCTAAAACTTTGTGTCAGTTTTGCTAGGTGTTTATTCCATAGGTGTTAATAATGATACTTCATAGAAAGGAAACTAGGGGTTTGGAAAACTGGAAAGAATAAGGAAACAAGAGGAAACTGGTAAAGAAAGGGAGAGGAACTAAATTATTACGTGTATTGCATGTTCACATATACATACTCCCTCGCATATCCACACAAGCATAAATAGACCGTCTAACAAACAAACAAGAACTCCCCCCCCCCACTTACATACACAGCCTACATCCTAACATCCAAACAGATAACAAACAAATACATGCATGCACTAACAAACAAATACTAACAACCCAGAAATCCATGCAGGTACTAACAAACAAACACTAACAACCCAGAAATCCATGCACGTACTAACAAACAAACACTAACAACCCAGAAATCCATGCACGTACTAACAAACAAACACTAACAACCCAGAAATCCATGCACGTACTAACAAACAAACACTAACAACGCTAAGGTCTAACCAATCCCCGTTGCAGAAAAGGGCCCGTGGACTTCCATGCGACGTCTGGGTTGGGAGACTCGACCAGACTGTGGAAAATACAACGTTGGAGGAAAAGCTAACGTACGAAATCTATTTCCTAGAGGTATGGGTCCATTGTTGCTTTTTGTTTCGTTTTTTTTCTCCTTAAGATCTTGTAGTGATTATGTTCATTTAGGTTATCCGTGGAGAGACGTGTTTTTTGTTTGTAATGTTTCTCCTTGTTTTCGTGTTTGTTAGAGTATCCAAGACGTACTACAGGAGATGCATAATTTAAGCTCATTTGCAATTTTGCAATTAGGATAAATAATTTCAAAAATGAAAATATGCGTGACATTGGATTCTGAGCAAGATAAAATAACACCAATACCTAATGAAATGCAGTATTATAAATAAAGATAGTCCGGACAGAAGAACAAAGCTTAGAAAGTTTCGTCACTCATCCCCAAACGTATTAAATTGAGTTTGAATCTATCTTGCGACTAAAGCCCGTCACCCTCCTCCAGGAAGGATGGCGCGAGGACGCAGGCTCAGAACCTCTTCCGGATAAGTTATACCCTGAGCCAATCCTCATCAAGATACAGCAAGATTTTACCAGTCCGTCCAACCCTGAATATAACACTTTCATTGCCCTGGAACAGAACATCTTTAAGTAAGGGTCAAGATTGGGCAAAAAGTACAAAAAAAGAGAAGAAAATTAATATGAATATGGCCACTAATAATAATGGTGATACGGGTCATAAAGATAATGACTTTGACGATAATAATAATATCAGTAATGTTGATGGCAACAGTAACATCGACAGTGTATTTTTTAATGAAGTTAGTGGTAGTGATATTGATGATGATAATATTAAAGATAGTGATGAAATGTAACATGATAATGATAATGACCGTTAATGTTATTATGATATACTACTTACCTGGTAATGATACTTACACAAATGATTAGGACGATCATGAAATAACGATGACAAGATAAAGAAATGCTGATGTTGCTTAAAATGACAATGACAATCGCCCTCAGATTCGACCAGAGCGCGCTGGACATGACGGTTTTCGACATCACTCCCTGCTTCAAAGGCCACGACCAGATCCGTCGCTTCCAGATTGCTTTTCCGGGAGAATTCCGCGATGACTTTGACAACAAGCCCGACCAGTTCATCCGTGCCATCCACGGCTCGCTGGAAATGTACTTGAGTGTCCCCTCCATTCGCATCCAGCACATGACGGTTAGTTCGGGAGAACAATGGTGTTCAGTTATGGCGCTGTTTCTTATTGAATATCGTGAGGAATTGAGGAGAGAGAAGTACGTCTTTATATAGTATCTGTGGTGTGGTTAGATATAACCTCATTTATTTAGTGTTATATATTTTTGTATTTTTGTATCCATGTTAAACAAGCTGTTCACAAGGCGATGAGGCAAAGAGGAAAGCACTCGATTATTCCCGAGGCCTTTACGCCATAGGCCTACTGCTTCTTCCTCTTTCGCAGGTTGAGTTCAACGAGAGAGACGGCCATTTGTATTGCGAATTCACCCTTGTGGACCAGCCTCCTGTATCCGGCATCGATTTTCCTCCTTCTGTAGGACCTCCCCTCGAGGACGTCGTTGCTTCGCTCGAGGCGTCTATGGGGAAACTGGTCGTCTTCCTGTTCGACGAGAGCTACGACACTCCCGGGGTAAAGTAGTGGTATCGAAGGGTCATTCTCTGGGGGAATATTCTGCATAAGGGTCGTGATGGTATTTTAGGATCATCCTTTCTTTTTTATGCATTTTTTGTCCATCTGATGGTTTTGGTCATTAGAATTTATGGAAGAGTTCAGTAATCGCGAATAGTGGTTCGTCCTATCCTGAACCAATTTAGTAACGAATCTTATATTTCTAAAATTTGAGGTTTCGGGCTCCAGTGCTAGTACGATGTAGTCATGCAGAAATATTACGTTTATGTGTATGATTAGCTACAGACTGAAAGATTAACACAGAACTAAAATAATGAAGAAAATGCGACTTAATTTTCAGTTGAACCATTAATACGACGTCCATAATTAATACACTCCTACCACAACAGCACATGAAGACGATGCAAGCATATGAAGACAGTCTCCGGGAGATGTTTGAGGACAGCTGCCATCCCCTGAAATCCTCACAGCAAACAGTCGACAGCGACACATACAGATCTCAACAGGAACATGGAAATATCCAGAAAGACACAAGTCTCCCCAAAAATTCACCAAAGAAAACGGATCACATTGAAAAACATGCTGAAGGGAAAACTCTAGTACGAAGAGATAGGACAGACAATGAACCAGTTATTGCTGATATATCGAAGGCGTCATTTACGGAGAAGTTAATGGGCGAAATCGGACGTTTTAACTTCCACAAGATGACGAAAAGTGCTCCGATGTACACGCCAGGTATTGGAGAGTTTTCTCGTCTGTACATTTGGATACTTTCATCACTTTCAATATCATTTCAGCACCTACCTCCTGCCGTCAAGTCAAACAGTAAACCATTCTTTCTTCATTCTTTTCTCCAGGTGCCATGGCAGGAATGGGCATTGGCATGTTCTTCTTAGGACTCCTGCTGGGAACTGTGGCTATGCTGGCCATACTCCAGAAATTCGGTCTTTCAGAAGGCATCGAGTTTATTCCCATGAACTCGCGTCGGTCATAAGGAATACTAAAAGCCTTATGATTGGCCTTGTTATATGGGTTATTTGGATCTGCTAATGTAATTGTGATGTGTCTGTTGGAAATTTAACAACAATTTTGGTAATTGTGTAGTGAAAGTTTACCTACTTAAATGAATGATTTTATGTGATTTTCTTGATTGAAGTTATACAGCCCTTTTAGATGTATTATATATTATATACCGTTCGAGATCGGAAAGGTGGTGCGATGACTGGAGAATAAACGAACATGATATTAGTCCAGTGATATTAAATGTTTTGTCTCAGAGCTGCTTGGTCATTATATTACAAAAAATTTTTATCACACAGTTAAGCATCATCTGTCGTTATTTATAAACAAATCTGCAAACATGTATTTTCTTTTATTCCATCCGGAAGACATAAAGCTGCTAATCATACCGCATTCCATGTACAAAAAATAAACATAACAGCAAATAAAAAAAAAATATAATTGCTCTTTGCCTTATTCTGGAGGTTTCTTTCTTCAATCCTCTTTCTTCTGAATCTGAGACGATATCTTTTTTTAGCCTTGAGCAACCACCATTTTTCTTTTTTTTTCTTTCGTGACTTGAAGGCTCATTACGGTCTTTTTGTCTAGCTTTGACTCAGCCTTGAAACACAGAATTTGAACGAAGTCTTACTCTTATTAATACTACTTCCGTTTTAGTAATGTAACGGATAAAGTTTCCGTGAAATTTACCAGCAATACAAATGCAGACAATGAATATCACATAATGCCAACGTCCATAATCGCTTCTAAACAGTAGATATGACTATTTAGCAAACAGCCTTTGCAATAATTCACAGTACAGCAATATATAATTTAAATTCTATCTTGGCAATATACCTTATTACACTTAGTTGTGCTTTCACATTTAGCACAGCATAACAGATACGTGTATTTTCGTATTGCGAGCTGCATCCTATATACTCGTAGTAAGAGGACTTCCCATCTGGCGATGGAGGTGGCGCCCGGGAGAAGAGGCGAGACAGATGGAGTCAAAGGAGGAGATTTTAGGGAACGCGTCTCTCCCGAACTTTATTCATTGGTGTTATTATTACCATTATTATTCTGTTGTCACTACTGTTGTTATTATTTCTATTACTATCATAATCACCAATATTATATTTTTATCGTTATTATTATTACTACTACAACTATTACTATGAAAATTAGTATTGTTATCATTATTATTATTATTATCATTATTATGTGACAATTATTCTTCTGATGAATGTATATTTGCTCTTAAGTAAAATAGGAGATCGCGCTCCCCTCAGCCCGCCATGACGTCGCCAGTTCTTTTTGCAGCCCAACCCTTGTCCTTCTTCCCTTGTGACATTTGTGAGAAGTCGCCACTTTTCCCCCGTAATATTTGTTATTCTCTAATCTTAGTAACGTTATCAATATATAAAACATCTTATCCCTTATGCATTTATGTATTTGTGGATCATTTGTTATTTCCCTGAGCCCCCGGCGTTGGTGGCTCAGGGAAACGCAAGGTCTGTTTTACCATCAGCGTTGTGGTGCAGGCGAAGTGCCTGGCCGCCCGAGGAGAACCGCAGGTCCCTGGAGGCGGAGGAGGCAGCGTCCGAGCTGGGCTATGACTCGAGGTAGATGGTCAGGATTCGGTCTCAGGTCATAGGCGAAGGGGCGTGGCCTGTTTCGCCATGATTGGTCACTCCACAGCAGTTGAAGGGCGTGACCTTGGAGGTGGAGGAGGAACATGCAAGGGAGGGAGAGGGTGGAGGAGGAGCATGCAAGTAGAAGGTGGAGAGGGAGGAGAAAAAAGAAGAAGGAAGAAAAAAAAACGAAGAAGAAAAAGAAGAATTAGAGAGGAAAAATAGGAGAGAAGCAGAAAACAAGAAATAAAAATAGAGGACGAAGAAGTAGTAGAAAAAGAAGAGAGAAAAGAAAAAAATGTGTAAGAAGAAATGGAGGAAGTAAAAAGAGAAAAACAATAGGAGAAAGAAGAAAAGAAGGATAATAACTGAAGGAAGAAGAAGAAAAGATTTAGACGACGAAGAAGATCAACAACAATTAGAAGAAGAATAGAAGGGAGAGGCAGAAGAAGAAGAAGAATAAACGAATGGGAGAGACAGAAGAAAAGGAAGGACAAGTAGAAATAAAACAATTGGAAGAAAAAGAGGATGAAGAGCAAGAAGAAAAAGGAGAAGAAAAGAAAAGAAAAAGAGAAGAAAAGAAGATCAATGCGAAGAAGAAGAAGAAGAAGAAATTTAGACACAAGCATAACAGAAGAAAGAGGCAGATTTCCGAAATCGATGGCCAATGCTTCTAAAGATTCTCCACCGGAAGTAAAAAAAGGAAAGGGTTAGAAAGAGAAAGAAAGGGAAGGACGTAGGATTAGTATGTAGGATGTAGGATGAAGTAGGATGAAGGTTTGTGTATCGGAGAGAAAGAGAGAGAGAGAGAGAGATAGGTGTGTGTGTTATATTTTCTTTCTTTCTGTGTGTCTGTTTGTGTTTCTTTCTCTCTTTTTGTGCCTGCTTGTCTATCTGTATCGGTCTTTCTACAGCCTACTTATTCCCATTCTCTCTTTTTATGTATGCATATATATATATATATATATATATATATATATATATATATATATATATATATATATATATATATATATATATATATATATATATATATATTTGATATATATATATATATATATATATATATATATATATATATATATACATATATATATATATATATATATATATATATATATATATATATATATATATATATATATATATGTATATATATATATATATATATATATATATATATATATATATATACATATATATATATATATTATATATATATATATATATATATATATATATATATATATATATATATATATATATATATATATATATATATATATTTGATATATATATATATATTTGATATATATATATATATATATATATATATATATATATATATATATATATATATATATATATATATATATATATATATATATATGCTCATAGAGATGCATATATACAGACACACACACACACACACACACACACACACACACACACACACACACACACACACACACACACACACACACACACACATATATATATATATATATATATATATATATATATATATATATAATATGTATATATATATTCATATATATATATATACATATATTCATATATATACATATATATATATATATATATATATATATATATATATATATATATATATATATATATATATATATATATGTATGTATTCCATATATATATATATATTCATATATATATATATATATATATATATATATATATATATATATATATATATATATATATATATGTATATATATAAATATGTATATATATATGAATATATATATATGAATATATATATATATATACATATATATATATATATATATATATATATATATATATATATATATATATATATATATATATATATGTGAATATATATATATATATATCTATATATATATATATATATATATATATATAATGTATGTATATATATGTATACAACATACATATTTCTATATATGTTTATATGTATATACATATGCAAACACTATATATATATATATATATATATATATATATATATATATATATATATATATATATATATATATATATATATATATATATATATATATATATATATTTATATATATGTTTATATAGATAGATAGATAGCTTGGTATGTATATGTATATACAGATATGAATATATATACATATAAATATGTATATATATGTACACACACACATATATATATATTATATATACATTTTTATTAATTTATATTTAACTTTCTGAATTTTCAAATGCCCACTACGATTAGGGGCCTCACTCCGTCGAAGGTACAAGAGGCGGTGGAAAATCGCTCTCCTGCCACTGGCCACGTGAGCTCTTGCGCATATAGAGGTTGTCTACATTTTCGTCACTATGACAAGATAGGATGTAAACTTGAAAAAAAGTTTCATTTGGTTTTAATGTTATGGATACTATTTCACTCGCACTATGGAATTCTACTTCATTCTTTTCGAGGTGAATACGAACCAGGAATCCTAATTTTTGAGAAACATCGTGAGATTCATCCCTCCAATATATCGGATGCCTCTCATATCGGTTTTCTGTCCCTTACCTAATCCTCGAACTACTCAAAGTCCTCTGAAATCACATTCATTGAATGAATCATCATCAAAAAAATAGATCATATTTTAATCTCAAAGTTTACAAAAGTTAATCAACAAACAGCGAATTGGTTCCAACCGGGTTTTCTTAAACCCTACACACCTGTTGCTCCCTAAAGTCCTGGACATTCGGTGGAAGCAATAGCACCTACTTTCTGCCTCCTGTTTCCTATTTCCTGCCTCTGACAAGACTGACAACTCTCAACAGGGCTACCAGTCTCGTCTTACTGGTTCTTAAAGGAATACCTCATTATGGATTCGACTCCTCGCTCCTCACATAAAAGTTGCGTTCTTGCAGTCACAGAAATGATATAGAGGATATACAGCTTAAACACACTGTCTAGTCTAGGCAATCATCAAAAGCAAATGTATGCTTTGAAGGTCGGACCTACGTGACCATTGTCTTCTGTGTCCCCTCATTTCCCTGCCCATAAACCTTCCTCAATTAGGTAGTAATTTGTTATGTACAAGTTAATTTTTCAAATGATTTTATCCTAAAATGTTCCAAGACTACTTCTCACATTACACAAAATATATCTTTCTTTTTTTTTTTAGATTTGAAATATACCTCCACATTAATCAATTAAATAATCTTCTCGGTGTCTGCTATCTGTTACAAATCTCACTTTCATAATTTTTTTTATTCTTGAAATTATCTTACCAAGCATTTTTAGGATATTGTTATTGATAATTATCACGAAGGAGGGGTGCTACTGAGAGCTGAGGGGAAAGGGCCAAAATATATTTTTTCATAGACTTCTTTTTTCTTGCATATTGTAGCACCCACGAAAGAATAGAAAGCAATTTCGTTAAATACTACCTTATTTATACTTCCCTTGTAAACTGGGAAAGAATCATTAGAATTTCATCCAGACAAGAGTCATTTGTTCCTTGTAGTGAACTTAGATCTTATAACAAAGAGAAAGTTTTTTTACATCCTATTTTGTAAATCACTGAAAAGTGGTTATAATTTGTTTTAATCCCTGTACTTACAACTTCAAAATACAGGAATTCTACCTTCAAACAAACAACTTTTTCCAAAAATTTATTTCTAAATTCTACAATAAAATTGGCACTTTTGAAATAACATCACAATTCACTGTCTGTTGGCAGTTTTATCGTCATAAAATAAGAGAAAACAGTTGCAGTCACATCATGAGTTCTAATCTCTTAATATCTTTGGTTGACTCTGTAGGCTGAGTGAGCTCTTTGCGAACTCATG